GGGTGAGGGGGGATGGGAACGACTAAATGTCACGACTGAGAATGAGCTACTGGCGCAAACAACTTATATAAGGTAGGTTATGCAAATGCCCTCATTAGCATTTGCCAAGCTGTCCCTGGGGCCCCCTATTCTGATAACAAGTACAACAACTCAGCTCGTTATTAATATCATTTATTTCATAAATCCAATTAAACTTTATCAATCATCATTCATTAATTTACTAAAGTTTATCAGTTGTGAAGTCCAAATCATTCTGTAATTTATACTTTTTTAAGCATCTTTTCAACAGTTAAAATTATAATTTTTTGTCATGAAGATGTACAGCTACGGATAATATATATTCTTTCTCTTTTAATTTAATGAGCTACTTTATTGCGCACCTGAATATTCATCAATAAACTAAAAAGTGGGCTGGAGAACGCCATTAGTAAGATTTGCATTATTTAGAGATCAGTGTATACCACTGTAACAGTCTTATTTTAGGGGATTTGATCAGTGGCGCCACACCTGCACCAATTTATTTAAAATTACGTACCCTTATAACAGCAATTAAATTAGCATGGAAAAACAAAAAATTCAGTCAAAGTCCACGTGAAATCGCTGTCTTTCCGTCAATTCTTTTAATCTGAATGAAATTTCTCTTTCTTGCTTCTGACTTTTTCAAAAGCGACAGATAAATTGCTTCTCTCAAATGTTTGTTCAACGAACAATAAATCATTGGATTTATACAGCAATTCACGAATGTTAGTAATTTCATAACTGCATTGAAAACAGGTTCAACCTGTTCAAATGACGGTTGGTAGCACTGGGGACAAACCACGCGGAGAAAGTAATAAAAACTTGAAGGTGCCCAACACAGTATAAAAGCTCCCAAAACCATCGCCATCGTACACGTAAGATCTCGTTCCCGCTTTGCCAAAATAGCTTCTTTATTCTCATAGGAAGTTCCATCGCTTGTATTTCGTCTAACGCCATGCACCGTTGTACCTGTAGTTTCCCCTCGATATTTCGCGCGGGAAAATCGAATGGCAAAGTAAACTGTGTAGAAGTGGCAGGCAAACATAACAACAAATGGGAAGCACACGTTTAGTAAAATAACCATCATGCTCCATTCTTTTGTAGGTTGGTAAGTACATAGCTCGTCGATGTCTTTACGCTGCCAAACGAACGGAAGCATGGACACTAATGCGGCTTCGAGCCAGGAGAGCATAAGCGCGGTGACCATCTTTCGTTCAGTTAATAACGTTCTATGCCTGATGGGCATTTTAATTGCTATGAATCTTTCGAGACCCACTACGGTTACACTCAATATGGAGGCGTACATGGAAATGAAGTATGTGAAACGAGACACATCACATGTAATACGTTCTTTATCACCACCGGCAGTGTGCTTCTTGGCAATGTACGCTGGCATTGCGCAGATACCGCATAAAATATCGGCCAGTGCTAGATTAAGAATCGGATAATAAGAAACGCCTCTTAAGTGCGGTTGACGATAGAAAGCCAAACAGACAAGTCCATTGCCTAAAATTGTTAGAACGATGATGACTACTACAATAGCGGTAACACAGATTCTTAGAGTTGTATTATCTAAATTGTTTGTCGTTTCTGTCCCTTGAAGAGTTGGTGAAGACAAGTTTAGAACCAACGTTGCGTTCATGATTCCTAGGAAGAAAAGATAAAATCCGTTTAATTTTAACGGCATAATATCATATGAAATTTTCTATGATTAACGCCAACAAGTTAACTATTAATAATTTATTGAACTATAAGGCTAGTGCAAACAGCAATTAGGTATGAAATACATAACATTAAATTGCAAAATAGCACAACCGCGAAATGGACACTATTAAGAAACATTTGCAATCCTGACAAAAATTTCATTGACATTCTATTATATTAATTTTGAAATTCAATTGCCTAAATTTAAATAAATATTGTAAAGTACAAAATTAAAGATACTTGATTTGGATTCAGTTGTATGCATGCGGCACACCTGCGCTAATATTTTTTCAAAGTTTTTCCATTATTATTTGTGACAGGTGATTGGATATCGTTTATAGTTTGAAAAGCCTAGCTCATGTATTGTTTGATTAATGCAAAAGACCGTCTTGATAATGTTTGCTCATCTGCAACATTTTGATAAAAGTCTATTATTAAATCTGATTGGTCGGCTTGATTCGTAAGTTTAACGTGATATAAGTTTAATTTAGCCCTATTTAAACTGAGTGAGGAGGGGACTTTCAGCCCGCGTTGATTTTACAAGTTAATATCTCCTAAACCAGTACAGAAATTTCGCGACTTTTCCTAAATATTCATGAGCCTTATGTGTGTAAAATATGGTAAAAAAGTATTGCACCAAAATGAAAAAGTTGTGTGCTAAAAAAGGTGAGGTGTAGTGTAAACACCTACCATCAGCATTTTTAATTAAATTATAATAGTTAAATAAAAGTAAGTATTTTTAAATAAAGAGGGAAATAATTACAATATATTAAAGGGAAAATAATTTTGATAATCCGGGTTTTGCATTTACTGATGACGTCGTGATGACGTCGTAATGACGTCATAATTTGTTGCCATGACAACATAAATGTTATAATATACTTCAGCAAGGCAAACCATCCGTCTGTAAAAAATTTGTCGGAATACACCAAAATAATGGTTCAGGAGATATTGACCGCGGGGATGGCCGAACATTTTGCCGAAAGACCTTTTCCGAAAGACATTTTGCCGAACGGACATTTTGCCGACGGACGTTTTGCCGAACGGACGTCTTGCCGAACGGACATTTTGCCGAACCGACAGTCTGACGAACGGACAACTTCCCGAAAACAGACGTATATTCTGAACTTTAAAGATTCGCTTACACGGTCAAAGTTTCTGTGATTAAAATCATTGTCGAATTTGATGACAGAAACTCCCATAGTGAAATATATATAGCTTCGTTTTACATTCTTTCGTGTTTTTGACAAGTTTACCGAAATTTCGCGATATAGAGAATAACATTATTCAACATCACTCATGAATGCGATGTCCCCGAAAACTGTGAATGTATTCCATGATTCTTGAAGTGAAATTCGCTTACGTCGTTGTTTCTATATACGCTTGTTTGTTTACGACCTAACGTCAAAACACGTTCCTAACAATTGAGTTATCCGCTGCACAAACAAGCGGCTACCAATAGTCAATATGGTTATGCACTGCTAACTACCATTATGCACGTTAACTAGAAAATACATGCATGCAGAAACCCTCGCCTTGCTGACAAAACCTTTGTATTTTCCGAACATGAAGTATCTAAAGTTGTTGTCATGGTAACACGATAATTTTTTAAGAATATTCTTACTAATGAAAATCGCCTAAAAATGTCACTTTTAATTACAAAATTATCAATCTCCCAACATATATATGTTAGGTATGTAATTATACGTAATACAAGCTTCAATTTAAGGTAAAATTCAACCACAAACAATTCACAAAACCTTTTAAAGTGTTCTTTATAAAACTAAACTGCCTTTAACTATTTTAATAGTTAAAAATGGCTTTATCGATAAACTTTGAGTTTGCAATAAAATGATTTCAAATTTCTCGCTTGCAAATAAGTTTGCTTTACTTTTTATTTAAAAAATTCAATATAATAAAAAAGGGAATCAATATTAAAGATACACTGAAATTATATGCTGTCTTGTTTAGTTGTTTCATATACGCAAAGGCCGTCGGGTTTTAAAGCCATTATAAAATCAATATTTAAAACAAACTTACCTTCGTTAACGTCGGCTCCCTTCTTTCAGCTGATTCTTTCGCCCTTTCTTTCTTGAAATTTACAAAATTTTGCAGAAATACGAGCAAAAATGAACAATATTTGCAAGAAATTTATTAATTATCAACTCATCAAATCAAGAAATGTTTGCTATTTCGCTGTCGTCATGCAGTCGTTATAATGCAAACTTTAAATTGGACCAATCAGTGTCCGTTATTCATGACAGTCCGCCATATTTTTGAGATCAGTGAGGATGACCACCCATCGTTGGTGACCGACGCCCGCGCTCATTGATGAACTTTAGACTTCGCTAATGCTTTCGTTTCCCCGGGTGTAAATAGCCGGGGGGAATTAGTACCCTCGCACGGCGCTTCGCGCCGCCGGCTCGGGGATTAACAATTAGACAACGAGACCGAGTTGTCTATGGGCAAATAGTCAACGAGGCGAAGCCGAGTTGATTATTTGCTCATACGGACAACGAGGCCGAGTTGTCTAATTGTTTTAGTATAAACTTTAACATTAATTTACAACTAGGCTGCAAACACAATACAAAAATACCCAAAAAACATTATAGATAAACAAATATTTTAGTTTTTGTTCGCGTAAAATGTTTTACAAAATTCAGTTTTAATTTTAAAAATTCATTGAGTGTATGTTATTTTGTCTATTTTCTTACCCTTAAAAATTGCCATTCCATATTTTTGTTGCTTTTTCGGGTTTTTTTAGTACAGAATTGTTCAACAAGTCGTCCAAAAAATCATCAGACAATTCGGCAAAAGTGCAAAACGCGAATTTTCCGCCATTTTGAATTTTCTATTAGTAGGCTATCACTAATAGCCACTGAACTATATAACATGGAAGTCTGACTCGAGCTCAAAAAGTGAAGCCAACATGGCGGAATTTGAAGGCATTCTTGCGCGTCATTCTCAGTCCCCTTACGTGCGCGGTCAACAAAACTTTTATATTTTTCTTTACTTTCCGAGTAAAAATCTGGTGAAAAACAGACGAAATTTGAATGAAAAGTTGAATTCTGGTATTTTGTTTGGGTTCGGTTATAAATTTTAATTATTATTTGTTTAGGAGATGTGATATTTGAGTGGAAAGAAAGCAAAATAGCGCGGGATTGCTGTTTTTGTAAAATGACAAGGAGTGACAAAACAAAACACAAAGTCACTCAATCTTTCAAAATATCTCTATTGCCCCTATCGACAAGAGTTTCACACATATGAATAACTCATTAAAATGAACAGTTTAAGTTTATAAGGCAAACATCAAAGTGATTTTATTAAATAGAAAATAAAAAAACAAAATTTTCTAACATGTATGGAATTAAATTGGCTAAAAACTGCCTCGAAAACTGCAGTTAAAAAGCAGTGTTAGGTCAGGAAAACCGACTAAAATAAGCTAAATAATGGTGTGAAAACTGAAAAGCACCATAGAAACAAGAAAACGAAACAACCAAAGCAAAAATAAATTGCCAATTTATAAAAATACAGATTTTATATCAAAAAAACAAAAAAGTTTGAAATTAGTTGTTGAATTCGCAACGAAAAATACAGATTTACTCACACATACAGTGGGAAAATGCAGTAGACAGATCGAGTAGATGAAGGAAATCAGGTTTACATGAAAGAAAGAAATAAAGTTTATTTCCTTTTTTGCTCTTCTAAAATGAAGAAAAACACAACCCGAGAGTCGCGGACCCATCACTTCCCGCCATGAAAATACAAAAATTGTTTGGCCGCGCGGGTAAGGGGACTGAGGGTGACGCGCAAGAATGGCTTCAAATTCCGCCATCTTGGCTTCACTTTTTGATTACGTCAATGACTGACTGAGTCAGCCTTCCATGTATATAGTTCACTGCTAATAGCCTACTAGTAGCGTAGCCAATCAGAAGGCACGATATGTGATAGCCTACTACAATCCTGGAAAAAAATTAGGAGACTTCTTAAATATTCAAACATTTTCCCCCTCCCCCCCCCCTATACAATGTTGGTATTTAGGTGACATGTGTTACAAATCCACTTTACCTGAACCAACATTGTTTGTGGGGGGAGGGGGGGGGGATTTAAGGTAAATAGTTGCTTTAATTGAAAAATGCTCACATTTTCATCATATGTTTTCAAATTTGGGTGTATATTTCCAAAAGTCTACATATATTTTTTCCAAGATTGTAGTAGGTTTATACTAATGACCATTATGCACTGATAATAACCATATAATGGTTATTTTACACAATGGTTGAGAATTACACAGTTGAGAAATGAGTCACAGTCCTAAATATACTGATGAAATAACATCTCTATTTTCGCCAAGTTGTCCTTTCGGCAAACTGTCCGTTCGGCAAACTGTCCTTTCGGCAAAATGTCCGTTCTGCAAAACGTCCGTTCGGCAAAACGTCCGTCGGCAAAATGTCCGTTCGGCAAAGTGTCTTTCGGGGAGTGCCGCAGGCACTCCCTCCAGTTCCAGAATACCAAAAAAGCCCAATCTGGATAGGGTTGATACGAGGCAATTCTATTCGTGCTCAATTCAGTTGTTTTTAATTTTGTATTTATTTTTATTTGTATTTAAACAGATCCTCCACTAGCTGATGCTAGTTTACACGAAGTCTATACTATAAGGTTTATGGTGGCTCGATACAGTTTTTAAACGATTTAGATGCGTATTTTTGGACAATTAATAGTTGTTGAACATCTAAAGAGTTTGAATTTTTGCACAAAAGTTACGCAACTTCCGTTGCTATGGCAACAATTATGTTTCAAGATGGCGAATATTTTGGATTTAAAGTAATTTAAATCGTAAACGACATTGGTGACCCCCAAATTTTATTTTAAAAAAATGATTTCTCTTAGTATAATCAATTATTTCGACAATTTAAAAAAAAATTCTATGGAGCCAAATTTTTTAAAATTACGTAAAGGTGATTATTCATAAAAATTTTATCTCATAAACAATTGTTGAATGAGATTGAGTTTATATCGAGAATTATCAAGGCCTCGATTTGTGTTATCCATCTCAGCCAATCGAGAATTATCAAGGCCGAGGATTGTGTTATCTACCGATGCCGAAGGCTGAGGTGGATAACACAAACCGAGACCTTGATAATTCTCGATATCACACGAAAACTGAATTCAAAAATTGTTGTATTATATATTCAAAAGTTAGAAAGAAAGCAAAGTCATTTTGTTTTCGCTTTTAAAAATATGAAATTTTTAGTGCGCGAGTTTCAGCAAATAATGTAACCACAGCGTGCAATAATACTTTTTTTGGACCGAACTTCGGTTAGTACAACGACGGCTTCAAGATCCCGATAATTATCCGACGCGTTTTGACCAGTCACGAACGAGAATAGACTTTGAATATATAATAAATGTTATTATCTTATAGATGACGTCATATCGCGCTAATTCCCAAATATACAAAATACAGTTCCACGAAGGTTGTAAGAAAGTTTCGCTTTAGTAAATATATCGTTGTATTATAATGGTTGTGCGAAAGCTTCGCTTCAATAAATTTACGTTTCATAAACGTTGTGTGAACTTTTTCCCTAACGGTTTTCCGACGACGTTGTGGCGACTCCGTTCCATGGAATCGACACAATGCCGTAAATTGATAAAGTTTTCGCAACGTAAACCGAACGTTCTGCAACAACGTTGATAGCTAGGACGTTCTTGTGTTAGCTGGGTATAGCTATAGTTGAGATTCAAAATTGATTAATTGTCTTTCAACCATAAACTTTCCTCTGCATGATACGGTTTTTCGTGGTAAATATGCTCTTCGTCTTTGTTAGTTTAGGTTTTCAGTTTACTTTTGTCACCAAACAAGGAATTGGCGTCACAAAAACTACTAACTGTTGATATAATTTAAATTTTCATGTGACACATATTTTAGTGACACTGCTATAGTACTTGATAGCAATATATGTTCGCTAAAAATGGCCAAAAATCAATTTAGATATTCCACCGCAGTGTGGCACGGTTGCATTCTTATAGCCCACGTTTTCTGACTAAAATGCTTAGTTGTATTAATATTATCGCTATAAACATGTGATTATTTTGGATTTAGTGATGTCATAATTTTCAACAAGGTTGATACGCCTTCATGCAGCACGCTGAAAACATGCGTGATCATGCTATATCCAGTGTTTCTATGATTCATGCATGGTAATAATTATGAGAGTTGTTTAAAGTATATAATAGTTTGTTTTTTTCCAACAAAGTAGTGATACAATCTCTGTAATTTGTCTTATTTATTCCTATTTGCAATATAGGACGCGCATGATTTAGTAATTAAGTTCATCGCTATTAGTAAAAGACGAGAATAACGGGGCTGACTGCACATCCTATCCACAAAAAGATCTATTCTAAGACTGCCTTATGTATTTTCTCGACTTAATGAGTTTGTGCAGCTGCATTTCATTTAAAGTAAAAGATATAAAGGTTATACGGAGGCTACAAAAGTTTAAGTGTTTAAATTATATACTATTGTAAGCATATATAAAACACTGTCACGAACCAAATACGTATAGTAAATACCTTGAATTAGTTAACAATAAATGGATCTATTTGAGCAATGACCATTACTTCTAGTTTATCATGTTGTATTCTTCAAAGTTTGGCAAGATAATTGGTAGTGCACGTACTTCTCTGTTGAGAGTTTATTATGAATACAGCTGCCTCGTACCCAGTCGTATCCAGAGCATCGTCAAGCGAGCACGACGAATGATACTGGGCGGTTTGCAACCTGTATCTGTTGCAATACTTCGAACCATATGTTCCTATTATATACCCTAAAGCATATATAGCGTCTGGGTAGGAGGCAGTATAATCAACAGTTATTCTGCGGCATCAACTATTTCGCTGACCTCAGAATGATATTTAGTCAAAACTTTTTTCTTCAAGATTGGTTTAGAAAGAAATTTGGAGTAGGGTTAGGTTAGGGTTAGGGTACGGATTAGGGTTAGAGTTGGTGTTTGGAGTAGGGTTAGTGTTAGTAAAACCGTAGCTTTGTTACGTTTTGTCACTCTGAGGCCAGCGAGATTAGTAGTGATACATGGAACACGCGTGGTCAACGTTGCCCGAATATATTTATTGCGCCAAAACGTCGTGATATACATGCGCGGGTCTTCGTGGGATTGTCGGCTGGTCGCGCGAGGAAATTGAAATCCTGATTTTTGTGACGTCACATAGATAAAAATAAATGTATTTTTCTCGTGTTTCCTTCGGTAAATTTTTTTAAAACTTCACACACTTTCCTGTAATCTTGAAGTGCGTAAAATGTTCAAATTTTAAGAAAATCGTACGAGCGGACATTCGAAGGAATTATAGATAATATTACTGTGTGCAAAAAAATTAAAAAGTTTTACCGAAGAAATTTTCAAAAAATTATCAAAGAATCTGCAAATTGGCCCTTTTTAAAATCGCTTTGTTACCATAGTAACGGGGATTTTTAACGACATTTTTTATTTTTCGTAATTCGCAATATTGTAGCAGCTATATGGCCGATTTTCGTGATCATACTTTGCAAGATGATAAAATAATGGTTTTTTGAATACAATTGTGTGCTGTACAATCAAAACTGTAAGAAGCCACCTTAAATATTAAAAATGTATTTCCTAACCTGTAAACAATTGCTGTGAGTTTTTACATCGTGTTTTTATTCCTGTTAAGACAATAAGTCTTGCAAATTAATACATTTATTTAATTTATTGTGTGTACTAGCTATAGACAAGACCGCCCAGACTAGCTTTATGGCTATTTGCGGTCTTGTTTCATTAATAATTAATTTCATTAATATATATTTTGAATAAAATTGAATTGATTGAAACGACGACTTTCTAATTCTAGTGTTCCACAAGGCTCCTCTATGACAACAATATCAACAATGTGGAGTATGGTGCCATACATACACACAAAGGCGTGGCGAAAGAGTAAAAGTTGGGATGTGGCGGAGAGGGTGAGCGTCATAATGATATGGACCAACTTTCCCAGTGGAAATTAACAACTACTCGTTTGATAAAATTTTTGTTCAAATAATTTGAAACAACGGCAAAGTTTCAGGTATTTCTATAAATCAGTTAAGACATTTTAGCGAGAGGGGGAGAGGGTGACTTGATCAAAACATAATTACTCGCTGGGGCACCTGTGCCCCAGCGAGTAGAAGTTTTGGCACACATTTTTGGTGGATGTCAGATGTCGGATTTCCGATCGTCGTCGATAGGCACAAAATAGAATATTAATGAGCTGCCAATTTTTTTCCAAATTATCCATGAGGCTCCTGCCAATTTTTACCCAAATTATCCATAAATAACCCGGAGGAAAATTCATGAATTTTACTAAAAAAGCCAAAGCTGCTGTTTATTTTAATTAACCAGCACGAATATACTTACGTTCTTTTAAAACTGTTTTTACGGCATTGAGGATTCAACGACAAGCAAAATATTTTATTGCATCTTCGAGAAGAACCATTTCTCCACTTTGAAATGACTTTGTTTTTATATTGTTTATTTAATATATTACATAAGTGATTAAGTCGAAAGCCTAATTAATGTAACGACATTTGAATAAATAATTCAAATAATTCAAATATGCGCTTTTTATTGGCTAGAATAATGACACACCCCCAATCACACCCCGGTCAAAAAATCCACCGGTAGATTTGGCGCGCTGCAAGTGAGAAAAGTACTTTCCAGCGTACATACGAACCGCGAAAAAAAACTTGAAAGGACTTTGGAAAAGTCTATAATGCAACATAAGTATTCAGTTAATTAAAGTATAGGTGAAATCTCTGTCTTTCCGTCAATTCCATTTATTTGTATGAACTTTGTTTTTCTGGCACTTGACTTTTTCAAAAGTGATTGACGAAATGCTTGTCTAAAATACTTGTTCGACCAACAATAAATAAATGGGTTCAAACAGGAATTCACGAATGTTAGTAATTTTACAACTGCATTGAAAAACGGTTCAACCTTTTTAAATGACGGTCGGTAGCACTGGAGACAAACCATCTGCAGAAAGTAATAGAAAGTGGAAGGTGCCCAACACAGGACGAATGCTCCCAAAACCATCGCCATTGTGCATGTAATATCTCTTTCTTTTTTTGCCAAAATGGCCTCTCCATTTTCGTCAGAAATTCGCTCGTTTGTATTTCGTCTTACGGTAATTGCTATAGTTGAACTTTTTGCTCTGTATTTGGCGCGCGAAAATTGAATAGCAAAGTAAACTGTGTAGAAGTGGCAGGCAAACATAATAACAAATGGGAAGCACACGTTTAGTAAAATAACCATCATGCTCCATTCCTTTGTAGGTCGGTAGGTGCATAGCTCGTCGGTGTCTCCGCGCTGCCAAACGAACGGAAGCATGGAAACTAATGCGGCTTCGAGCCAGGAGATCATAAGCGTGGTTATCATCTTTCGTTTGGTTAATGACGTTCTATGCCAGACGGGCATTTTAATTGCTATGAACCTCTCGAGACTCACTACGGTTAAACTCAATATCGAGGCGTACATGGAAAAGAAGTATGTAAAACGAAACACATCACAGGTAATACGTTCTTTATCACCACCGGCAGTGTGCTTCTTGGTAATGTACGCTGGCATTGCGCAGATACCGCATAAAAGGTCGGCCAGTGCCAGGCTGAGAATTGGATAATAAGAAACACCTCTAAACTGTGGTTGACGATAGGAAACCAAACAGACAAGTACATTGCCTAAAATTGTTAGAACGATGATTACTGTTAATATAGCGGTAACACAAATTCTTAGAGTTGTATTTTCTGAGGTGTTTATCGTTTCTGCCCCTTGAAGAGTTGTTGAAGACACGTTTGGATTCAACGTCGCGTTCATGATTGCTATAGGAAGGAAAGATCATGCAAATTAAAGCATTTAATATTGATAGAAATTTACTTCGATCAATGCTGGCATGTAAAATGAGTTAACTATTAATAATAGTAGCTAATTGAACTACTGTAATTGGAGTGCAATTTGTCTAAAATCAAATGCGAGATTACAAAATCGCACAGCCTCGAAATGGACACTTTCCAAATTTTAGAAACATTCCCAAGCAGTCCGGGCTAAATTAAATCGCATGACATGAATTTCAATGAACATTCTATTATTGGTCAAATAAAGTTTGTAAACTAGAAAAGGAATTTGTTAAGCAAGAATCAGTTATATATGCGAATCAAACTCCTGAATGCGTTAATAATTTTTTAACTTGTCCGTTTTTAGTTGTTAAAAGTAATAGCATGGACATCGTCTATAGTTTGGAAAGCGGCCTTTTCAATTAATCCACTATTTTGTTTTATGCAATAAAACTAGTCGCGATAACGCTTGCTCATTGTCAGATTTTCATGTTCATTGCTAGATTTTTTATTAAATCCAATCCGTTTCCATACACGATAGTTCAAGATGATGCAATTTTATTCGTACTCTCATGACGTCTATCGCACCAATCAGGTTGCGACTATGATCACTAATTATAAAAAGTGACACGAAGGGAAAATAAATGTAAACATACTATCGTGCATTTAAATTTGTTGTGAAATACAAAACAATTATGGCTATAATTTCGGGGATAGTTTTTCAATATTTTCCCATAAATCTAGCTTATACACTAGCTGGCATGGCCTTAGTATACATATAAATACTATGACCTTGCTGTTAATCTCGACAATTGGAGTCTGTAATCGCAGGGCCGCAGGTTCGATACCTGTCAGAGGACCCAGGTAAGGGTTGTCTGACTAGTTTACAGGTAAACGACGTCAAGCGTTCCTCTTTTGAGTGCCTAACTTGATTGCAATTTTCCTCAATACGTTTACAAATTTGAAAAACTCCCTTGCAAATATTCTTAAAGGGAAATTGCAATGTTCCTATCGGCTGTTGCGGTATTCCAATGCAGAGACACTTCCTTTCAAATTTTCCTAACTTCTTGTTTTAATTTTCTGCCTTCCTGTTCTGTTCTGAGCGTTGTCATTCATGGATTATTTCTGTTAGCCAATTACAATGCACGCAATAGAACAGGAAGTTAGGAATTTGTAACAGGAAGTTAAAATTAAGAACTTGTAACAGGAATTGAGGAAAATTTAATTGGCTTTTAGGAACATTGCAAATTCCCTCAAGGGATTTGCCAGGGAGTTTTTCATATTTGCAAGCATGCATTGTCAACGGTGCAATGTCATCACCTAAAACGATTGTGTGCGGAGTTCCGCAGGGATCAATTCTTGGTCCCTTGCTGTTTTTATTATATATTAATGATTTACCCGAATGCCTCGAAAAAACTTCGCCACACCTATACGCTGATGATACTCAAATTTCTACTTCTGCCAAAACTATTGAGGAACTTACTGAAAATCTAAATAATGACCTGAAAAAAGTCGGTGAGTGGCTTGCTCGAAATAAACTGCAACACCACCCAACTAAGACCAAATTAATGTATATCGGTTCAAAGTATAATACTGATACTATGACTTATGATATTCCAGTAATGATGAATAACCAATTCATAACTCTTGCTCATTCGTACACATGCCTTGGGGTTAAACTTGATGAAAACCTTAATTGGCATGAGCATGTTGAAATGATTTGTAAGAAAGTTGGGGCCGGCATAGGAGCAATGCAACGAATTAAGCCATATGTTCCTATAAATACCCTGCATACCATTTACAGAGCTTTGATAGAACCGTATTTTGATTATTGTAGTCCATTATCGGACGTCTGTAACCAACAGCTGAAAGATAAGCTTCAAAAGTTCCAAAACCGTGCAGCGAGAATTATAACCGGCGCCAGCTATGAAATAAGGTCTGCTGATGTTCTTCGATCCCTTGCTTGGGAAAATTTAGAGATAAGACAACGTACAACTAAATCCACATTAATGTATAAAGTCCTGAATGATTGCGCTGGGCCGAACTTGAAGGATGCTTTAATGAGAAGGGACCTTGTTCAAACCAGTTATAATCTTCGCAATACTTATACTGACCTTACCCTTGCTAAGCCAAAACGAGAATTTCTAAAAAAAAGCTTTAAGTATAGCGGAGCTAAATTGTGGAATAGTCTTCCTTCTGATGCGAAGCTAGCGCAATCAATTTATTCTTTTAAAAACTGCCTGAAAGTGTCACGCTAACATCTTCTAATATACTGTATATGCATGCTTTAGAAATATGGGTCACACCGTTTGGAACTTAATTCTTGTATTGTAAATAGTTGTATATAATTCTTTATTCTTTTCTATATCATATTTGTAATTTTTAATAGTAACAGACGTCCCTCGTGAAAATCAACAAATCGTTGACGAGGCTAACGTCTTTAAATAAAGTTTACATACATACATACATACATTTGCAAAGGTAATGCGGAAAATTGCAATCAAGTTAGCCGGGAACTCAAAAGAGGAACGCTTGACGTAGTTTACCTGTAACATTTAGTTACAATTCAGATAACCTGTGTCATCTAAGTTTAAATTCAATTATTAACATTTCATTTTTGTAACTTTTATTTTAATGGCGCTAATAAATTACCTCCGAGCCAACGGCGCGGAGCGCCGTTCAGGCGTAAGCCCGGGGCGAGGGTACTAATTCCGCACGGCTATTTACACCCGGAAAAAGGAAGGCTGCTAACGGTTTCAAAAATGGGGTAGTGGATGGTCATCTTATTGATCTCAAAATATGGCGGATTGCCAGGGGTGCAATGAGCCGCCAACTGCTATAAAGATTTCAGTTTAAAGAATGAAAATGAGCTGTAAAGCGATTTTTTAAATTTTACTTAAAAGAAATGACAAGAAGAGATATAAGATGGGAAATGATGAAATATAAAGCAAGTTTGTTTTGTTTTTTATTCGTAAACATGTACGTTATTTTCGAGTTTTCCACTTGCCTCCTAAATTGCCCAATTTTATATTAAAAAGAGCTTATATAGAATTGAAAAAAAATTTAATTATTTCCGGAAGCGAACTGTAGGATTGAAATGATTTCGTTGCAAAAAATAAACAATTGTTGCCAAAGAATTGAAACAGCATATATAATATAAAGTTATGAAATGAACGTTTCGTGAAGTGTTAAAGGTTGAATATTATCTTGAATTCAAGCTTATAGAGTGAAAAATAACATACCTACTTTATATATTTTAGAAATTAATAGTTTTGTCACTAAACAAGGAATGGACCTATTCCCTAATGAACAAAATTTTGATCTAGACAAGTCTACCGCTTTCTGAAAAAAGGTATCGATTTCCCGTGCGTAATACAAAATGACTGAAAAACGGCAAACTTCGTAGGGCAATACTATCCGGATCAGTTTACAACATTTCGCTACGAAACTTCGGAATATTACTAATTTTGTGATGCTCTTTCAAGCGGTGATAAAATTCTTGTGTAGATCAAAATTTTGGGAATATAGGTCCATTGGCGCCGTCTCAAAAACTACTAACTGTTGATATAATTTAAATTTTTATGTGACACGTATTTTACTGTCCATAGTGCTTGATATGTTCGCTAAAAATGGCCAAAACTATTTAGATAGTTCCACCGCAGAGTGGCACGGTTATATTCTTATAGCCTACGTTTTCTGACTATAAAATGCTTAGTTGTGTTAATATTATCGCTATAAACATGTGATTATTTTGGATTTTGTGATGTCATAATTTTCAACAAGGTTGACACGCCATCAGCACGCTGAAAACATGGTGCGTGATCATGCTATTTCCAGTGTTTCTAGATGATTCATGGTATTAATTACGAGAGTTGTTTAAAGTATGTAATACAGTTTTTTTCCTACAAAGTTGTAATACAATCCCTGTAATTTGTCTTATTTATTCCTATATTCACAATATAGGACGTGTATATAGTTACATGTCCATCGCTATAGTAAAAGACGAGAATAAGTGAATAACGTGGCTGACTGCACTTCCTGTCCACAAAAAAAACTATTCTAAGACTGCCTTATATATTTTCTCGACTTAATGAGTTTGTGCAGCTGCATTTCTCTATTGTATAAAGCTTGTGCACAGGATATTTAAAGTAAAAGATATAAAGATTATACGTACAAAAGTTTAAGTGTTTAAATTATATACTATGATAAGCATGTATAATAAAAATACTGTCACGAAACAAATACGTATAGTAAATACCTTGAATTAGTTAACAATAAATGGATCTATTTGAGCAATGGCCATTATATTTTATCATGTTGTATTCTTCAAAGTTTGGCAAGATAATTGGTAGTGCACGTACTTCTCTGTTGAGAGTTTATTGTGAACGCAGCTGCCTCGTACCCAGTCGTATTTAGAGCATCATCGAGCGAGCACGACGGCATTCTCGTACCCAGAGCCCGCCTAACGCGCCGTCAACGGAGCGCGACGAGGGGCTCTGGAAAAATCCATATCAAACTGGCATCTGATTGGCCACAACGAAGGTTATTGTTCTGATACCGGATATATTCTTTTACCATGTTTTTATGGTATCCGGTTATGGATTTTGCCGGGGCCCCTCGTCGCGCTCCGTTGACCTCGCGTAAGAAGGGTTCTGGGTACGAGAATGGCACAACGAGTGATACTGAGCGGTTTTAATTTACTTGCACTCTTAACAACAGACGCTTTCGCATGCACGCAGCCTATACCTGTTGCAATACTTCGAATTATATATTCCATTTCCTATTATATACCCTAAAGCATATATAGCGTCAGGGTATGAGATTTCTGCGGACTTGAGTCGTATATATGAGTATGCTATCAGTTATATACGACGAGATTGAGTGAAGTAACTATTTTATTATATGAACAACTACTGCATTTACAACCTCTTCAGAAAGGCAATGTTTTGACAAATTACAAGTTTAGCCAAATTACGCAACTTGGCCTGTACTTCGAACATTGCTAAAATTTGAAATTTTTATATATTTAAGATTTTCTAGACAAAACACGTGCTTGCATGTCCACTTTCAAAATTTTATAATTGGGTTTTGCTTGTAAATTTTCAAAAAAAATCTGTATTATTTTCATGTTTTTATCAGTTGCTCTTTCGGCATTACCTTTTCAAAAATATAATTTAAACCTGAGTTTTTAAAAATATTAAAGATTCATTTTCTAACCTGTAAACAATTGCTGGGAATTTTTACGTCGTGTTTTTATTCCTGTTAAGGCAATAAAAAGCGAAAAACCTGTTGTTTCCAGAGAGCCAATCAGATTGCAGAATAGCATATAATTAGCAATTAGACAACGAGGCCGAGTTGTCTATGCCGAGCGAATAGTCAACGAGGCGAAGCCGAGTTGACTATTTGCTCATAGACAACAAGGCCGAGTTGTCTAATTGTTTTAGTATAAACTTTAACATTAATTTACAACTAGGCTGCAAACACAATACAAAAATACACAAAAAAAAACATTATAAAGCCATTAAAGGTAAACAAATATTTTAGTTTTTGTTCGCGTGAAATGTTTTACAAAATTCAGTTTTAATTTTAAAATTTCATTGAGTGTATGTTATTTTGTCTATTTTCTTACCCTTAAAAATTGTCATTCCATATTTTTGTTGCTTTTTTCGCGGTTTTTTGGTACAGAATTGTTCAACAAGTCGTCCAAAAAATCATCAGACACTTCGGCAAAAGTGCAAAACGCGAATTTTCCGCCATTTTGCATTTTCTATTAGTAGGCTATCACTAATAGCCTACTAGTAGCGTAGCCAATCAGAAGGCACGATATGTGAGAGCCTACTAGTAGGTTTATACTAATAGCATATATATAGTTGCCGTCTATATAATAATATATGTTAATTGGAATGCATCATTAACGTTCATGAGCATGTATTTCCATACTGTTGAAAACGTTATAATTTTTCATTATAAAATTAACTATTTTTCATTTTTACTTCTGGGAAGGACAAAAGAGCAAAGATATATACAACATTCAGGGGCAGCGCTAAAGGAGGAGGAAGTGGTGGGAGGGGAGAGGTGTTCGACCCCCCAGTCATCAGGTAGTCTGCAAAATATTGAATCCCAGTTGGCAACTTGTTTTGGTAGGCAGAAAAATATGAATTTGGATAGGACCATCGAAAAAAATTAAGATATTTGAGTGACACTGATTAAAAATTAAGAATGATACCTAAAATGTGGAGAAGAGAAATTTACCAAAAAATTCTTTTGTATGCACAAGTTAACATTCTCAATCGTTTTCAGAATACGTAGGTAACCATTCTTATGATACATGTTCTTCAAAATCAAATAATTTTTATATTAAACAATCCAAACTAGAAATTCAACAAAAACCATTTTCTCATGTTGGCGCAAAATGGTGGAACGAGCTCGAGGTACCATCTTGCACAAGATGATTGTCAAAAAGCCTCTTCCCTTTTCTTAATATATTGTTTCTTTATTTTCTAAAATTTAAGTTTTTACTAATATTTAATTTGAAAATTATTTCACATTATGCATACTTTGCTATATAATTAATTATATACTGTCTTGCAAATTAATACATTTATTTAACTTATTGTGTGTACTATAGACAAGACCGCCTAGACTAGCTTTGTGGCTATTTTCGGTTTTGCCTCATTAATGTGATTAAATATTTTGACTAAAATTGAATTAAAAAATTTGATTGAAAACCCGCTTTAACGACTTTCTGGTGTTCCACAAGGCTCCGCTATGACAACTATATTATCAACAAACTGGAGTATGGTGCCTTACACACACACAAGGGCGTGGCGAAAGAGTAAAAGTTGGGAGGTGGCGTAGGAGGTGAGCGTCATAATGATAATGATCAACTTTTCCAGTGCAAACTAACAACTGCTCGCCCAATGCTCTGCCAACTGAGCTACGCGGTCAGGTCGGTTCGAGTATGTGATATTTCGGAACTGAGTCTAGTTCCTTCGACATCAATGCAATCTAGTAATCATGATTTTTCTGTGTTGGTGTAATGTACTCAGGTGAATATGATGTCTGTGATGTTACTCTGAGTGTATATCCACACCTGGCAAGCTTGAAAAGTTTGCCTTGCCACGGTGGAAATCGAACCTACGACCTTTGGAATACCAACCCAATGCCCTGCCAACTCAGGTCAGGTCGCTCAGTTGGAAGAGCATTGGTCTGGTATTCCAAAGGTCGTAGGTTCGATTCCCATGGATGAAGCAGACTGTTGTGGGTTTTTTGAGGTAAAACGAAAAAATATATTACGCTCTATCTATATGGTATTGAGCACTGTTTGTGTTTCGTAAACCAAAAACTTAAACTATATATTTAACAATTATACCATGAGCTTGAGTCGTATATGAGCTGATAGCCGACGAGGTGCGTAGCACCGAGTCGGCTATCAGCCATATACGACGAGAGCGAATGGTATAATTGTTTTATAATATAGTCTAATAGCCATTAACTGAAGCAATAATTAATTATCCTCCGTTTCAATGTCTTGACAATTTGTTCGGTCAAAAACCGCTTGGCCTTGAAAATTTGAAATACTTTTGTTTTACAACTCGAAGACGAAGTGAAAGAAATGGTTTTAGAACCAGTATATCTCACAGAAAAGCTCAGATATATTATACAGATGTTTGGTAGTATAGTAAGTGCTTGTTGACTGCAAATTCATTTGTCTTTCGTTGCAAACTTTTCTGAACAATTTATATTCTCAATGAACATGTTTTTTTCGCTGTTGTTTCGGTATTAATTCTTTAAAAACTTGTATTTAAACTAATTTCTATGTAATAAATGTATTTGGCAAACCTATCAAATTTTTTTGAGAGTTTTTCCTTGTACTATTATCTTTCTCAAAGCGAATATTTTCCTTTTTTCTGCTTCGCACAACTCATGTAGTTTTTGGACCGCCATCTTGTTTTTCGCTACTCGCCGTATATGAGATGATATACGGCGAGTAATTCAACCAATCAGATTGCATAACAGTTCATATACGGTGAATGACTATATTATAAGTATATATATATATATATATATATATATATATATATATATATATATATATATATATATATATATATATATATATATATATATATATATATACATATTATATGCAACATTAATTATTCGATCGGTTAATTAAAGTACAGGTGAAATCTCTGTCTTTCCGTCAATTCCATTTATTTGTATGAACTTTCTTTTTCTGGCACTTGACTTTTTCAAAAGTGATTGACGAAATGCTTGTCTAAAATACTTGTTCGACCAACAATAAATAAATGGGTTCAAACAGGAATTCACGAATGTTAGTAATTTTACAACTGCATTGAAAAACGGTTCAACCTTTTTAAATGACGGTCGGTAGCACTGGGGACAAACCATCTGCAGAAAGTAATAGAAAGTGGAAGGTGCCCAACACAGGACGAATGCTCCCAAAACCATCGCCATTGTGCATGTAATATCTCTTTCTCTTTTTGCCAAAATGGCCTCTCTATTTTCGTCAGAAATTCGCTCGTTTGTATTTCGTCTTACGGTAATTGCTATAGTTGAACTTTTTGCTCTGTATTTGGCGCGCGAAAATTGAATAGCAAAGTAAACTGTGTAGAAGTGGCAGGCAAACATAATAACAAATGGGAAGCACACGTTTAGTAAAATAACCATCATGCTCCATTCTTTTGTAGGTCGGTAGGTGCATAGCTCGTCGGTGTTTCTGCGCTGCCAAACGAACGGAAGCATGGAAACTAATGCGGCTTCGAGCCAGGAGATCATAAGCGTGGTTATCATCTTTCGTTTAGTTAATGACGTTCTATGCCAGACGGGCAATTTAATTGCTAAGAACCTCTCGAGACTCACTACGGTTAAACTCAATATGGAGGCATACATGGAAAAGAAGTATGTAAAACGAAACACATCACAGGTAATACGTTCTTTATCACCACCGGCAGTGTGCTTCTTGGCAATGTACGCTGGCATTGCGCAGATACCGCATAAAAGGTCGGCCAGTGCCAGGCTGAGAATTGGATAATAAGAAACACCTCTAAACTGTGGTTGACGATAGGAAACCAAACAGACAAGTCCATTGCCTAAAATTGTTAGAATGATGATTACTGTTAATATGGCGGTAACACAAATTCTTAGAGTTGTATTTTCTGAGGTGTTTATCGTTTCTGTCCCTTGAAGAGTTGTTGAAGACACGTTTGGATTCAACGTCACGTTCATGATTGCTATAGGAAGGAAAGATCATGCAAATTAAAGCATTTAATATTGTAAAATGAGTTAACTATTAATAATAGTAGCTAATTGAACTACTGTAATTGGAGTGCAATTTGTCTAAAATCAAATGCGAGATTACAAAATCGCACAGCCTCGAAATGGACACTTTCCAAATTTTAGAAACATTCCCAAGCAGTCCGGGCTAAATTAAATCGCATGACATGAATCTCAATGAACATTCTATTATTGGTCAAATAAAGTTTGTAAACTAGAAAAGAAATTTATTAAGCAAGAATCAGTTATATATGCGAATCAAACACCTGAATGCGTTAATAATTTTTTAACTTGTCCGTTTTTAGTTGTTAAAAGTAATAGCATGGACATCGTCTATAGTTTGGAAAGCGGCCTTTTCAATAATCCACTATTTTGTTTTATGCAATAAAACTAGTCGCGATAACGTTTGCTCATTTGTCAGATTTTCATGTTCATTGTTAGATTTTTTATTAAATCCAATCCGTTTCCATACACGATAGTTCAAGATGATGCAATTTTATTCGTACTCTCATGACGTCTATCGCACCAATCAGGTTGCGACTATGATCACTAATTATAAAAAGTGTCACGAAGGGAAAATCAAACTGTTAGCAAATAAAAAATGTAAACACACTGTCGTGCATTTAAATTTGTTGTGAAATACAAAACAATTATGGCTAATTTCTGGGATATTTTGACTAGTTTACAGGTAAACTACGTCAATCGTTCCTCTTTTGAGTTCCTAACTTAATTGCAATTTTCCTCATTACCTTTGCAAATTTGAAAAACTCCCTTGCAAATTCCTTAAAGGAAAATTGCAATGATATGTTCCTATCGGCTGTTGCGGTATTCCAATGCAGAGACACTTCCTTTCAAATTTTCCTAACTTCTTGTTTTAATTTTCTGCCTTCGTGTTCTGTTCTGAGCGTTGTCATTGGTGGATTATTTTTGTTTGCCAATTACAATGCACGCAATAGAACAGGAAGTTAGGAATTTGTAACAGGAAGTTAAAATTAAGAACTTCTAACAGGAATTGAGGAAAATTTAATTGGCTTTTAGGAACATTCCATCAAGGGATTTGCAAGGGAGATTTTCATATTTGCAAAGGTAAAGCGGAAAATTGCAATCGAGTCAGTGGCGTAACGTTATATCAGGGGGCCCCCGGTTCAAAATTTTCGAAGGCCCCCCTAGTAGAGGTGCCAAAGGCACGAGTCGAGCGCCGTATATGCACGAGTTTTCTAGGGGGTCCAGGTCATGCCATTTCCTGGACTTTGGGGAGAGATTTTACAGAATTCTAATGGTCATAAAACGACATTGTAACATATCAGAGGCCCTGGCCAATGTTTTTGCCCTATCGCCTAAGCCTGTGGGCCCCCATTTGGGTTGGGGGCCCCCGGGTTCACCCGGTCTGAGCCCATAGTAGTTACGCCACTGAATCGAGTTAGCCGGGAACTCAAAAGATGAACGCTTGACGCAGTTCACCTGTAACATTTAGTTACAATTCAGATAACCTGTGTCATCTAAGTTTAAATTCAATTATTAACATTTCATTTTTGTAACTTTTATTTTAATGACGCTAATAAATTATCTCCGAGCCAACGGCGCGGAGCGCCGTTCAGGCATAAGCCCAGGGCGAGGGTACTAATTCCGCACGGCTATTTACACCCGGGAAAAGGAAGGCTACTAACGGTTTCAAAAGGGGGGTAGTGGATGGTCATCTTATTGATTTCAAAATATGGCAGATTGCCAGGAGTGCAATAAGCCAACTGCCATAAAAATTTCAGTTTAAAGAATGAAAATGAGCTGTAAAGCGATTTTTTAAATTTTACTGTAAAGAAATGACGAGAAGAGATATAAGATGAGAACTGATGAAATATAAAGCAAGTTTGTTTTGTTTTTTATTCGTAAACATGTACGTTGTTTTCGGGTTTTCCACTTGCCTCCTAAATTGCCCAATGTTATATTAAAAAGAGCTTATATAGAATTAATAAAAAAAAAAATTATTTCCAGAAGCGGACTATAGGATTGAATTGATTTCGTTGCAAAAAATAAACAATTGTTACCAAACAATTGAAACCGGCAGCATATCAGCATATATAATATAAAGTTACGAAATGAACGTTTCGTGAAGTGTTAAAGGTTGAATATTATCTTGAATTCAAGCTTATAGAGTGAAAAATAACATGCCTACTTTATATATTTTAGAAATTAATAGTTCGAAAGTTAAAATGTTAAACTTTATTAATATCTATTACCGTTTTGCACAATAATTCAAAAAATTAAAATTTAAAAATGCAAGCAACGCGAGCCTGCGTTCAGTTGTGGCGTAATTTAGAATACTTCATGTTAAAAAATGTTTAGGAAAATAAAGGCGAGGGGATTCTGCATGCATGCATGCATTTCTAGTATGTTATGTTATATAAAATTGTACAGGATATAGGCTAGACTCGAAATTTCTATCCACAAGAAGACTGTATTCGATGTTGTCTAAACATGTCAATTAACTCATAGCATCGACCAATCACATTCTACGTGCAACAAATGAACGGCGTTCAATTACCAATGCCGAGTTCCCATTCTTGATTCATCATTTCCGCTTTAACAAGGACCTACATGTGAATACGATGCCACATGTTTGATATCTGCCTTTGTTGTGTTTAATCTTCAAAAGATCCAATCTGATAATCTCAGATTGATAATCTGATGACGTTTGACGTCGTATTTAAACGCAAAACCATTATTCCGACTAAAATTAAAAATATGTTAAAAGCATCACTGAACATGTTCGCAAGTCATTTCAACGGTTGCCTACAACGTATTGGTTGTCCAATATAACTTATGAGGATTCCAATGTTTCGTGACATTTTGTTATCTTTATCTTTTTCAACAATCAACAAGTACAGATTTGACTAACTTGCTATACCATTTTTTTTTGTAAATGACAAGTGGCAGACCAGTATAAATAATGCTTACCAAAAAGAATGACTCGGCAAATTTGGTTTCAAAATCGACGAAATATTGAAACATCGTCCCCGGAAAACGAAATAAGCACAAGATTTTAGTGTCATTTAACTTGGTGTCAAACATATTCACGGACAATCGAGTAGTGTATTTTATCAGAGTAGTGTATTTTATCAGAGTAGTGTATTTTATCAGAGTAGTGTATTTTATAACAACAGTGTTGCGGACTGGATTAAATTATAATTTATACTATGCGTCTTCAATGCACACCTGCATGAACTGCCACCGAAACTTACGTAAGTCCTGTCATTCAACTCATTTCACATGTAGTGTTTTATGTGTTGAATCTAATAAAACTATAGTTCAGACAGTTACAAGTTCGGTTTTATACGAAAAGTCAAACTCTAGTTGAATGTTTTGAAACAAAATTTAAGAAACGTTGGATACTTGGATTAATTCAGTGCGTTATTGACTTATTGTCTTTTCAATTTTTCGTATTTTAAATATATATCTTTTATTTTCATTTCAAATATGCAAAAACATATCTGTGTGATATATGTGAGCCAAAACTCAAACTCTCAAAGTGAAAAGCACTACCATAAACACCCATATAAAATATAAACCACACATTATAATTTAGACTAATTTACACGCGTGCGCAACTGATTAGCCATTTCTCAAAGTCTTGCAGGGTCTAGTCGCGCAAATCCCATAATGGAGGGACAACAAAAATGGCTGCACACATTTAAATTAAATGTTTAATTAATGTAAAAAGGAGATATTTCATTTTTGCTCGTCTAGAAAGTTGATATTTGATAGTAGATACTTCTACTCTTTCACATATTTGTCGCCTGTCACCATATATTTTGTCCCTCCAAACGATCCCAGAATGCACTGTGATCTATTTTGGGAAAAGGCTAATAGTGATCATGCATGTCGAATCGAACACTTTCGATTTTATTAAAAAAGTCAACATCACTCATCAAGTTAAAAGTCTGCATGGTCATAGGCAGCCCAGTAAAGTATGTGTGTTCACTTAAAAATACATCAGTAAACGCTTAAAAATGCGAATATAAAGTTCGTCTGACTTTGCCATCAAGCGATTTATTGTGTAGCTCACTATATCTGCATATATTATGCCTACTCAATGAATCGCTTCATGACAAAGTCAGACGAATTACTAATTTATACGCATTTTAAAGCGTTTAGTATATTAAGTGAATACACATATTTGCTGGGCTGGTTATGGTCTGATATAGTTTTGTAATAAAACAGATCGAAATATCACAAACTCGTTTCTATAGTCTTCAAGTTATATCCATATATCGATCAAATAATTGCCTTATTTCTATTTACAACAAGAATAATGATACGTTTATGGCTAGTTTTAAAAGATGAGAATAACGTGCACTTCCTGTCGACAAAAAGACACATTAAGACTACCTTTTACGCATTATTCTCTCGAGTTTGTACAGCTGCTTTTCGACATTGTAAAGCTTATATGCAGATTATTTAAAGCAAAACAAAACGGTTTCACATACCAAATATTAAATGTTAAAGTTACTAGATTCAATATATAAGTACCCAAAATAGATACATAGTTTTGTACCTTGAATTAGTTGACAATAAATGGATTTATTTGAGTAATGACCATCCTCTTATCATGTTGTATTCTTCAACGGTTGACAGCTTCCCGTTGAGAGCTTATATACAGTTATATGTTAATTAATATAAACGCCAATATATCATTCATCATGCAGTGACTTTCCATGTTGTAAACTCTAGCAATATTTGCATACTGTCACGATGACGGAAACGATGTCGCTTTCGAATGTAAAAGAATATGCATTGTCTTTATTTATTTCCTTTTTTATTTATATCTTTCCCGTTTTAGAAAGAGTTTCACCGAAAATGTATGATAATGTTAACTATATACGATCGGACGACATAATTAAATATTAATATTATCATTTAAATTAGTGTAAACTAAATTAATTTGACATGTACGCCCAACGTTATATTATTTGATACTTTTATTGCCTTGCATATATTATATATATATTTATTGGCAAAGACGACAGGTGAAATATGTGTCGATAACATTATGAGCAGGAACCGGTTACTGCATGCATTATAATGTGGCTAGGTTAATTTGTTGTCAACAAAGCATATGGATCCGTTCGCCTATGGACGTTTTTCTCAGTTCCATAAGAGATCAGAATCCTGTGTCGTGAAGATATCATTATATGTTCATTATTTTTGTCAGAATCCTAAAGATTTTTCAGTATGGACACATATTTGATTTATAAGTAACGACAATTTACTTTGTCACAATTCTTCTTACGATCTCCTCATATTTACATATCAGGATAGTAAAATTCTTCAGGTTTCCGCGAACAAATTGCGTTCATTTGGTGAGGAACAGATGATGTTTATGTACAGGCAAAAAAATACATATTCCGTGTATACAGGGGGCGCTTTCCATTTGAACAAAAAAAACAGTTTGCGGTTCCGGAATGTCTATAGTGGCAAAATGGAACGCTACAGCGCGACAGGCCTTGTAAATAATGGGAGGCTTGTTGGGCGCTTTCCATTTTACGGAAATTCCGGAAATCGTACTTGAAAATCAAATGGAACACGTTACTTAATTTCTGAAATGATGTTTCTTTAAAGATGATAACCAGTCGAATCTGCGCATGCGCGGTATAAATATTGTTTGTGGAGTGCACAAACAAACCACATTAATGTAAATTACATGAAGTATCTAAGTCATTATTAAGAATTTAAATATGGTGTCGCGTGCAGAAGCGAAGGTGGAAATGAAAAGATTGTTCTTTTTTCTTCTGCTAAAATAACCCTAATTTGAACTATATATCATGCCAAGGGAACAAGTAAAAGTCTTAAGAGTTCTAAGGAGCGAACATAAAGTATCTACTGTGATTTTTTAGCAGTTTATTTCGCGAAGAAGTCGATTTTACTTTACTAAAATATGGAGACTGTATGCCATGGCAAATATGTGTTCTGAAGTACGAAACTACCGCTAGAAATTGTCTTAAAATGAGTGGGGTTTTATGAGGATTTTTAAAAATTTTGCTAAATTTTCGGCTGCAAACTGCTAGCCTTCTTCTGAGCAATGTGCCACATTGGCCAAAATGGCCCAAAGGCCACATTGCTCAGAAGAAGGCTAGCAGTTTGCAGCCGAAAATTTAGCAAAATTTTTGAAAAAGTTTTTAACATTAGAATGTTTTTAATTAGATCAGTTACAAAATTCAAAGTTACTATGTATTCTACTGATCGCCTCAACAGTGGGGGGGGGGGGGCAGCTATTCATGTCACTGCCTACACTAGCACCTTCCTCGCATTATATGTAATACTATACATGTAGTAGACTCTGAGAACCAGTCTGGGCTCCATGAATGAGACTAAAATATTACTCTGCTCAGACTTTGTAATGATACATACTGTAATATATAACAAATTTGTAACAAGCTGTGGGAGAATGGAGCATTGATTTATCCCAACAGCTTCAATACCAACCATTGTTTCTTTACAACACCCTGATGAATTCCTGTCTGAAAACAGAACCCCTGAAGAATTCACCTTGACAGTGTTTAGCCCTAAAGAATTTAGAAAAAGAAAAAAAAAAGAATTTAGTGTGTTTAGTTGTAACATTTCATCCCAGGCTGTGCCTGTCAAATAAAACATTTTGGCTATGCACATGTAAAAAAAATTAAACTCATTCTCATTGTTATAAGTATCCAATCTCATCCCCTTATTAAGTATTTAGTATGTAACAATCATTCAAATCACAAATTAGTGACTGTTAGGAACCATTCATTTTTTATGACGGTGGATGGCTGGAGCAAATAGTGTGGGGGGCAAACAAAAAAGTTGAATATTGTCGTAGAAAAATTGCAGCTTTTAGAAGTACAGAAGACTGTAAAATGCAATTTCTGACAATCTGGAGACTCCAAATTTCAAAATTTCTCAGCTCCAACCAGCCTCTTCTCAAAAGCAGCTTTACTTTTTTATTATAAAAGAACTATATAGAGCTTTAAGCCAACAATTTCCCATCTTTTTATTAACCCATTGAGCCGCAATGCCCTCTACTTATTTTTTTACTTGTCTAATGCCAGACGATTTTACTCGTCAATGGGGAAGATCTGCAGCTTAATGCCGTTAAAAAACAATTTCTCTAAGGGGAGGGAGGGGGAGGGGGCAGAATCATCTGAAAAAAATTGCCCTTCGAGCCACCGGAAAATATGGGCATAAAGGGATTGGTACTAAATTGCA